GCGTGGCCGTGTGAGAGCATTTGGAGAGGGAGAGTGGACTCTCCCCACTCTCGGCCATACCAAGGCATTCGGGGGTCTGTTTGTTGCAGTTTATTGTGTGTGTATGTGTGCGATCAAAGATTACTACATTGATCAGAATTTTCATATGCCAATCTAAGGAAAAGTATACTTCTCATCAATATGTTCTATTCTATTTTGTTAATAATTCAAAACATGTGACCAGTACGTAGAATTTCCGGCAACTACACGAACTGTGGTCATATAGATTTTGTTTTACAAAATTTCGAGGTACATTCATCTTATCTCCTGAAATACTCCGTTTTTACTGTTCAAAACATTCCTGTAAATCTCCAAAAGTTGACTTTCTTTAGTTATACCCTGTGATTTCAAGCTTTATAGGGTCCATAAATGTTTTGCTGGAACTATGTGCACAGATGATTTTTACCGAATTTACCTCATTAGTAATCATTTGAGCAGTGAATCGGTAATCAAAGAGGACATAGGAGACCTCATGCATGTATTGTTTTCAACAACAAAAAACAAGAAGCTGGGCAGTTGTCTTACAGTACAACTGTAAAATGTGACCTTTAAGAATATTGGATATTTGTAGGTTACTAGTATTTAATATTAGATGTCTTCCAAATATCAATCACGTATGTTGGAATCATCAAGGGAATAATATTGAAGTAAGATAAAGGGTATTAGGCGAATAAACGAAATTGAATGGCTAAATAATGAAACTTCATCGACTAAAGTGGTTGAGACATGTATTACTTATGCTCAACTGCTCACTTTCCGCAACATACGATATTGCCTGAAGTAGTATTAAGTTAGAAGAAAGCTATGTGCAACAGAACGAAGACATATCATCAGTCCATGGAGTCATTGACTGTTGTTCTAAATTACGATGGTAGATGAAGACTACTTGAGAGGAGTCAGTTCAATAAACGCAATTAGTGGTTGGTGACGTTGGGTGATATGGATCAGAGTTAGTTATAGTAGTGGTGATTCATTCACTTTTTGTCTTCCGTTAGATCTTGAGTTTCTGGTTTTGTTTTCTGTCTTTTATTCTACTGATTTATTGATTGTTCTTGAATCAAATTTTCTATACCCTTCGACAATAACGGAACTTAATGGGTTTCTGTGTTATTCCGTTTACTTTGATATTCATCTTAATAATTTAATGTCCTTATGTTGATTGATGTATCACAATGATGACTGAAGAATTGGTCGCTTCCGAAATCACTTTATAGAATACATATATTCTTATTCATAGAATTGATAAGTTACTGGATTATCATGTACATGTACTCCGTTTATCATAAGCTTTCTTTCATATGATCAACTACTATTATACTGCTAATCAATTATTTACAGTTTGCTCTATTCATAGCCACTTTTGGCTTATTTGTTTATAATTGTGAATTTTTATTCTATGGAGTGATATAGTTCAGTATGCTTGCATACATATATCCATTTATAATCATTTATTTATTTGAACACATAAATATTGGTACAAAGAGGCACCGGATACACATGTGCCATACAAGTCGCTTGATTTGTATGTGAGCTGTGATACTATCCGGGTGCCCAGACTGAAGCAGTTGGTTTTCTTAGGGAGCCACACTCGGAGCCTTTGACCTAAAGATTTGATCCACAAGACAGTGGAGCAACGTCAGGAGATGCAGTTTCATGGTAGTCGGTGACCAATAATTGGTTCATACGCTATTTTTCCCTCAGGATACTGGAGCCTATGTGCACCATTGATTTGGAATCAGGGTTTTCCAACTCATATCCTCTATATCCACAAACCCGGTTAAAGCGCCGGACATTCGCCTTGCCGTCAGAAGGCAGTGGGTAGGACTTCCCTGACATTGGCTGTATACGCGTGGCTATATGAGAGTATTTCGAGAGGGAGATCTGACTCTCCCTATCCTCAGTCATACCAGAGCATTTGGAGGCATACCGACCCATTTGTGTTTTGAATCAATATAGTAGAACCTGACTTGTGACTTGTCTTTAGATTCAAGGCAGAACATTGAGACAAAGTTTACGAATAATAGGCTCCATAGAAATATAGCTTGCGTTGGCTCAAAGTTAACCATGCCGGTTAGAGTGTATAATTGTTCAAGTCTAGTTTATAGACTGAATAATATACGAAATTGTATTTGGTAAATTTAGCACATCATATCGACTGGCGTCTTAAATCATATAATTGATGTATGAATTGTCGTAATCTGATCTGAAATACATATATATTTGAGACTCTATGTTGTATATAACTAAGTGATTGAATTAAACAATCTTGTTTTTAATAAAGATCATCATTTCTAATTATGATTCCATCCAACAACAACAACAACAAAAATTAACACTTAGTATTTACAACAAATACTTTTGTAAGCAAAGGTGGATAGTGGCTAGCAATGGAATCTAGGACGCGCATTTCGTCTTATTTAGTACTCTTCAGCTGGATGTACCCGCATCTCATAGTTGATGTCCACTCTCGGACTCGAACCCAGTACCGTTCGCTCCAAATGCCATCGCATTATCCACTTAGCTATTGAGTCCTGATAGCCACCTGCTTTTGTGTTATCCTTTCATAATTCATTTACATTATTGTTAACTTATCTATATTATTGTATTGATATTGGTATTATTCAATTAAAGATTTATCTGAATTCTTACATATATATGTAGATACATACACAATTGAAATTTAAAACAAATAACTCTTAATACATATGATATCACTTTTGTTGTTGTTGTTGTTGTCGTCGACATTAGTGTTTAGTCATTGTTACCATTGACAACTATTGAACACAATATTATTTGGCTTTCTAATACAAACATATAATTGAAGAACTCTTAATTCTATTATAACTCATAAAATTCGGTATAGAAAATAAAGGGAGAAATATTTACTTTAAAGAGGGACAGTAGGAGAGCGAGAGAGAGAGAGAGGGAGGGAGAAAGTTTAAAATGTAACCTCTTTTAAAATTGGCAACAATAGATCTATCAATTGTTCAATGTATATATGGTAGTTTGTTTCCTGAAATGACCTATATATTGTAATCTGTTTTTGTATTGTTGTTGTTGTTTGTTTGAATGTGATCTTTTAAATGGGGAAAAATCGATATATACATGGTTATATGATTGTCTGTAACCAATGTGATTACTGTTCAATAGAAAAGATTTGTGAAGATAATATGGTCTGTCTTGTTTTTCCCTTTTACATTCAATCCTTATTACATAACATATATATTTGTGTTCTTTTTTTTTTTTACAGTTTTCAGCCAATATATGTTTGTATCAGAAGGGGTTTTTGTGGATATTATGGTTATTTCAGTAGTTGAGATCATGAGTCAGTTGATATTAGATCATCATAGAAAACCTGGAAGCACTGAACGGCCGTTGCGTTTCATTGTGGCACTCCTCAGCAATGCTATAATAATCTACAAAAACCCCTTGTGATATTAATCAAAATATGCTCATTATTGACTGGCTTCATGAGGTATATCCCGGTGTTCTACTGAGAAGCAGTGAGCAGTGGAGTTCAACCGGGTCTATTATGAGGTAGAAACTCACTGAAGACTATAGTGAATGTGTTGCCCAATTTCGTGGATTAGTTGAAGTTAGACATTAACACCGTTGAATGCCAGCTCAGTGGTCTAGAGATTAAGCGTTCGCGCGCGACACCGATAAGTCCTGAGTCCGAATCTCACGAGGCAGGATCGTAAGTGCGCATTGCTGAGAAGTCCCATAATAGTACGAAACTGCTGTCCAGTACTTCTAGGTTTTCCATGGTGACTCATGATCTCAACTGTTGAAGTATATTTTTATTCTTCTTTTTCTTTCTGATCGATTTTATTCACTGAGTATTCTCTGTATGTGTGTGTATGTTTGTGTTTATCTGTTATTATTAGTGACATTGTATTCTAATCACTTTGAAGTTTACATTACAAAATGATTCTAGCTAGATAATACAAGACTTCTCCATAATGCTCATTTACAACTCTAATAGAGATCAAACCTAGGACCTTCAGTTCTCCACGTCACCATTTAATCTTTTACAATTCTGATTCCAACCTATTGACAATATCGAACGAGTATCATTCAATGCTATTGATGATATTTATTTCACATCTAATGTTGTTGAACTTCACTGAAATTTTTCAGAATCATCCCTTGAAATTAGTCATTGGTAAACATAATATTGAGCTTTAACATTTGACTAAAAGTTGATGATAAGTGTTCAAAGTGAAATGGCATTTATTATTATGATTATTATCTATGAGAATTCAATATCAGCTAAACGTGAATATTGTTATGATATTGGTCACTTCTTATTGATCAGTCAACTGTAAATATCTCAATTCTATAGGATATTAGTTGTGGTATAAATATTTCAGTGATGATGTCTCAAACTAAGGAAGTTGTGATGATAATACAAGTTTCAATTTCACAAATAGTATCAGTTTCCTAAAGGACTGTTAGGTATTCCTTGTTGACAAGCCGCCAACTATTCAAAGATGTAGATTAATCAAAGTTTCCTACCAACTAATTCTAACCACTTAACTAACATGTATTATGTTTATGTTAAATGACTGTTCACTTATATGAAAATACTGACAAGTTTTATTTGGTCATTGTTTTGTTACCTCATACATACATACCCACATACATACACTTACACACACACACACACAATTGCTCCCATCCACCCACTCACTCACTCACTGGTTCTCATCCCTTTAATTTTTGTCTACTATTGGCATCATATTTTTAATCTCTTTTCATAATTCATTAATATGTCAGTTGGTTTCTTTTAATTATTATACATAGAGATCAATATTTTCTAAAGAGAAAATCTATAAATGGTGTTTTCTCTATTTCCTTTTCTCTTCTCTTCCCTTCTCTTCTCTTGTACTTTTATTTTCATTTATTTTGCTCTTTTTTTTTCTCTCATTATTCCTATGAATTCGGGAAATCATTGAAAGAATGAATGGAATCTTGTGGTGAGTTTAATTACTCAAGGCAATCGAATGGTGTATATGCGTCATTTTCCAATGCATAAATCACGTTTAAATGAAATGTAAGTTAAAAATGAAGTACTTCTTTTGATTTTTTTTCCCTGTTTACTTTTAAATTTACAGTCAGTCAGTTAGCTACAACATAGGATCGGGCACATACATCCATCGGTACAAGTTGCCATACCTACTACTACTACTACTACTACACTGAGAACATCTGTTTCAATGTTAGCGCACATTCATAGTCACTATTCATTTATTACGATGAGGAGTGTTTTGCATAGATGCAGAAAGACAGCAGAAGCTTTACAATTAAATTATCAAATTCAGTATTCAACACAATTTAAACAAACAACCAACTATCAAAGCTCAGTCAGTCAGCTACAACATGGGATCGGGCACATATATCCATCGGTACAAGTTGCCATACCTCACCACATTAGCACAACAAGATGAACACCAGATTCATAGAAGTAGTTACTTCAATGGTGGTAATATATAAAAGAAAGATTGCATATAAGAATATAGTACAGGAAGAAAGAATTAGTTCATAGAAAGAAAGATGTAAAGCAATTTTAATCTCATAGTTTAAGGGAGGATAGAGAATGTATACACTTACGCCATTATGATCGATTCTGAGCCATGTCACACAGAGTCTCCAACCATTGATTACGACAGTCATGCGGACCCCAACCAGGTAGTCTGCATCGACCAACATGGATCAGACCAGAAGTTAATGACTTCAAGCACTGATGCCCCTAACTTTCTTCTAGCCGTCTCCAACACTAGTCAGCATTGTGCGTCGTGGTAATCGGTGTTCAGTCATACGTAACACGTCTCATGTAAATTATTATTTTTTAATTGACAAGAGTACTTGATAAGTCACACGTAATAAGTATTGAATATTAAACATGATCACCATAGGTTGTGAATGAATAATTGACTTTTTAAAATAAAATTGGTGGTGAATGAATTCAAATTGTTTCTTTACAACACGAAGCGTACGTGTTCAGTATTTGGAACCACTTGAAAGTAAGCTTACAACTGAGGTTTACATAATATATACATATAACTAATATCTTGAGAAGAATGTGTATGACATGTATCAAACTACTGACTGCCTTGGTGTAAAATAGTAGTTGAGATAGGAATGTGTTTGAGGGGGACTAGATTAGGGGTAGATTGCGACGTGGCATCAGTCCATAATTTGTATCCTTCGGATGTATAATGCTAAGTTAGGACACTCAGGTTAATCGTAATATATGATTGTAAACGTTTAGTGATAAGAGCACCGATTATTGGTATAGCGATTATTCAGATCATCGGATAACAATTTCATTTGTTTAAGGTTAAGTATATTAACTTAACACTTCCGTTCAAGTAACTGAATGATTGATTATTTAACTGACAGAATTCAATACATTAAAAAGATAAATTATTTCATCCTTACAACCGGTGAGTTCAGTTTCAGGTGAACTGAGCCACTTATCATCAAGTGCTTAAATTGTCTCGATTTATCCACCCGGTCAGTGGTAAACGTGATCGTTAACCACAGTAGAATACAAGTGTTCAATAAAATGGAAACGGCATTGCAAATACATGAGTGACAACCTCTCTAACTATAGTACATAGAGATGAGTGTTCGAATTCCATTTGTGATCTTAGTTCCTTCAAGGCTACCTATCCTCCTTGTTGATGAATGTCGATCAACACGATATCTACTTCTAGGACAACTCCTCATCGTTCGCATCAAATATGTTCAGGCGCTTTCTAAAGGTTTCATGCAACTAAGCAACTTTTGTTCACGATATACTTTTACTTATAACTGTGATGAGTACCTAAGTTTCCTTTGTACTTTGATTAAAATATTTATTTGAGGATTACTTTAATTTGAAGAATTTCTTATCATGAATTGATGATACTGGTTAGAGAATTATTGAAAAACAATTTGACACAGTTGTTTTAATGATCAAGGATTCATGGCGAGATCTGAAGGCTCTGAGTTCAATCACTGGCAAGCTATTGGGTGTGTACTAGCGACTAGTTTCAAACTAGGACGAAACAACTTTCCACCATGTCCTAGTTCTAAATGATACTTCAGCTCAAATCAATCTGTAATGAATAGAACCTACAGGACAACTAGTTTTTCCTATTCTAGTAAAACTTCTCACAAGCACTCATCTACAACGTTTTCAGGGATCACAATCCCATGAAACTATTTTTTTTTGCATTAAGAGGGTTATATCTTTTTAGACAGATCATTGAGTTGATACCTATATTCCGGATCTATATATTTCAAAGCACATATGCCCAATAAAGACTGAATCTCAACTTCAAACCTAAGGTAGATGTATATCCAATTGTGATTAGCCTTTGAACAAAACGAAACTCATATCCTAGATTCTATTGATAGCGACAAGACGACTGTTCTATAAAAAAACACTATATAATTGTCAAGATTTCTATGCATATTCACATTTACTATCTTTCCTATTTTTATCATCTTTCATCCTCTTTCCATAATTTTTTTTTATTGATTTTGATCAATTGTAGTTTTATCAATCTTTTGCATTATTCACCGATGGATGGTCATATTGATTTGATGGTCGCTTATGAATCTGATCATATCAAGCCTAATAATGATCATTCTCATGATAACAATGATGATGATAATTGTATTCAAGGTCCTACAATACGTTTTGAATTCTAATTCTCAATGACTTTTTTTTTCTTAACCTTATAAAATGTTGCATTAATTTGAATATTCTAATGTATGTATATGTACTACTTATGTACTACTTATATGTTACTAGTTGTATAGACAGAATGTATAACATTGAAAATAGAATGTGTATATGTGTGTGTATTTAATCTTGATCTCTTCAATGAACTTCTGTTTGAACATGTTCATGTGATTTGGATATATGTAATTCACATTCAATGAGTAATAGAGAAGAATAACTCATTAATTTTTTCCCAGTCAAAACTAATGAAATATACAACAATTCATGTAAGATTTAATAATTGAATTCATAAGTCCATAGAAACTAGATCGCTATGGAAAACCTGAAAGTATTGGACGTCCATTTCGTCTTAGTATAGGACTCTTCAGAAGTAGTACGCATCCAATACTTCCAAGTTTTCCATAGGGATCTAGCTTCAATGGACTCATGAATTCAATTATTAAATTAATATAATATCCACACACACAAGAAAAAACTCTTCTTTGATTATAATGTGATATTATTGTCTTTGTCTTTGTGTTATTTCATTTCCAATTGAATAGTTTCATTGAATTTGATTATTCTTTGTACCTCTGTCTCTTTGTATGTATGTAGATTTTCATCAATTTAATTACTATGCATTAAACTATCTAATTCAATAGAATCTGTGTGTATTTGTGTCTTGATAACCTTTATATAAATAGAAAGATAAATATAACTCAGTATCGGTTGATATATATACATAGACGTATCTCAGTCTTACTTTTAAACTGTTTATACATTTCATTCTCTTTTACCTGAATCATATTGTTTCGAATTTAATAGTTTCATGCAATTATTAGATAAATGTGAACGAATTCATTTATATATAATCCAGTTCTACACTGCTCCTCCATGAAGGGTAATAGGTGTAAGTAAGATACTACATTGTTTATAATACCTAATTAAATGATCAATTAATCATGTACAAGGAGGCATCAAATAGATATGCGCCAAACTTTGTCATTCGATTTGTATGAAGGCTGGGACACTGCCCGAGTGCTCAAACCGAACCAGGTGGTTTTCTTAGAGGGCCACACCCAGAGCCTTCGACCTAAAGGTGTGATTCATAAGGCAGTGGAGCAAGTCAGGAGACGCAGTTCCATGGTAGCGGGTGACCAACGATTGGTTCATACGCCATTTGTTCCTTCAGACTACTGTAGCCCATGTGTACGATTGGTTTGGAGTGAGGATTTTCCGACTCCCCTAGGTGTACTCCATGTCCACCAACCCGGTTAAAGCGCCGGACATTCGGTTTCCGTCCTCTTACTTTTATAAACAACAGTAATGGTGCGAGAAGTCAGTCAGTAGGACTTCGCTGACATGGGCTGTATGCACGTGGCCGTATGAGAGCACTTTTAGAGAGAAAGAGATATCTCTCCCCACTCTTGGCCCTACCAGAGCATTCGGGGGCTAAATTGCCCACAGCACGTTATTGACAAGGATGACTATGATGATACTTCAAGTTGTTGACAAGACCGTTCTTAATGGTTAATAGTGGAATTCCTTTTTTGTTTGTTTTTTTCAATATCTACCATATGACTAAATAAGTTTTTCATCATCAATAATTATGATTGTATACATGAGATACAACATTATTGCACTGATCTGCTTACATAATGTCATCCAATTGTTTTCTCGATATGTTTAGTTTGTTTTTCCCATTTCCAATTTCTATTCAATGATATTCAACTTATGATTCTATTAAAACTTTGATTTGTCATTTAAATTATAATTTAAATAGTCAAGTGAAACTGAAACATTTAAACAATAGTTCAAATGACTACAGTTTACATATTAGCACAATCAGATCAATTTGGTTCGTTTTTTTTTCTTCTTGTCGAATTGTTTCTCTTTCATAAACTTGTTTACTTGATCTATTCAGTTATTTTGTTATGTTGTTTCGACTTTTTAATGATAATTATCATATCTTAGTAAAGATTAGGTTATGAGTAACTTTTGAGACCTATTAATGGACTAATATTATCTATATATTCTTATGGTATAATTATTCAATAATTAGATTATGTATATTTATATTCCTCTTATTATAAGCTTCATTTTGATCTATAGACTATTATGATACGATTTACTGTTCTTAAGTTATGTTCAGTTTATTGACTACTGCTTCCCACGTTCACAGCCACTTTTTGGCTTGATCTTCTGTAAATGTTATTTCCCATTTTACGGTACGATGTGGTCTGTTTGGCTTGTTTATAAACCAAGTATGTTTAAAATAAATGATTTGCATAGTGGAAGCTGTTATTGGTGTTCTGGACTCAACTGAACGGGTTAGGACCAATAATCACTGCCAGGCTGCTCATACTGGTCGAATATCATTGGTATAACACAGTACAAGAGTAAATAAGTCGTATTTCGATTGGCGAATACATTATGCGATAAATATCACAACAAATTGGCGACGGGGATAGAGTTCGAACCCACGCGAGGAAAACCCAAAAGATTAGCATCATTTGTACTTGTTTTCCAAGGAATATACATTTATGTATGTATGAAATGATAATTTATGTTTGCTAATTGTAATTGAAATCTCTTTTAAAACAGAAAATTATTTAATTCAAATGGGGAATAAGTAACATATAAGTATATTAAATATTGTGGTTTGTTTCGTAAAATTAACTCATAAATTGGATTGAAGTTAACAATTGTAAATAGATTGGATTCTGAGTCAATAAACTAAATGTAAAGCATTCATGGCATGAAATCTAAGAAGTGACAGTGCCTTATTACAAAACAAAACGTTGGATACTGGCTCAGTGGTGTAGAGATTAGGCATTCGCGCTCAAAACCGATAGGTCCTACGTTTGGATGCCACGAATAGGATCGTGAATGTGCACTGCTGAAGAGTACTATACTAGAATGAAATAACTGTCCAGTGCCTCCAGGTTTTCCATAATGGTCTAGTTTTAATTGATTCATGAATTCAACTATTAAAAAGAAAAGTTTTTAATCAGTTGTATGATACTCCTTAGCTCTTTCATCGTTCCTCAATTGAAATCGAGCCGTAAAGAAGTTCAAATTCGATTGAGATCGTTTTTTTCATTTTTTGACCAATTAAATATCTGATTTATTAACTTGAAGACTAGTTAATTCAACGCTTATCAAAGTTTAAGTTATTTCAACAGTTGAGATCATGAGTCAATTGAAGCTAGACCACCATGGAAAACTTGGAAGCACTGGACGGCTGTTTCGTCCTATTGTGGGACTCCTCAGCGGTGCGCATCTACGACCCCGCCTCGCGGGATTCGAGCCCAGGGCCTATCAGTGTCGCACCAGGCGCTTTACCAACTAAAACCACTGAGACGGCATCAATTATTTTGATCAAAGCTTTTTTTACAATATTTAACTGTAAACCATCAGTATTATTGCGTATGGTTTTTCTCTTCTAATGAATTATAAGAAGAAAGTTGTATGATTATTATCAAAATTATTGTATAGTTAATTTTTTGCGCCAAATTTTGAAATCATTGATAATACTCTTTTTTATTGAGATCATGAACCGACTAATGTTAGTTCACCATTGAAAACCTGGAAGTATTGGAGGGCCGTTTCGTTCCATTGTGACTAATAGAGCTAATCCGTGTCGGGTAGAGAGAGGTATGTACCTCAGTACAATGGTAGATTGTTGGGAAATTTCGTGAATTGGTTGAGGTGAGACATTAACACTGTTGGATGACTTGAGGAAGGATTGTTCCAGCCAGTATAGCTCGATTGGTTCATCACGACACGTAAGACCGACCACTACGTCAAGGTAGCAACAACGGTCGAGTAATTAGGGTATAGGGATTTACAGTTTAGGATCAAGATTTTTGCGAATATAATTGTTTTGTATGTTATTTATAATTGCTATTATATCCGCATCGCTTATTACTTGTACTTGAAAAAATAAAACAACGAATCACTGCAATTCCCATGAAACGAAGTAAGAACTACAAGACTGGTATGATAATCGTGAATGAACATTCATTTTTGATTATTAATAAACAGGATGAAATCAAATAAATGAAAAATACTGAGAATTATAGCAAACCACATAGTACATGTGATGTTGAGCTTAGTTCAGTTGTCTAGAGGTTAAGTATTCGTGTGTAAGACCGAAAGCCCTAGTTTCGAATCTTGTGAGTTGGAATTGTGAATGCGCACTACTGAGCAGGAGTCCCGTACTAGGACGAAACTGCTGCCCAGTGCTTCCAACCATTCCATGGTGATCTAGCTTCAATTGACTCATGAAATCCAACTATTAAAAAAGAGAATGAAATTACATAAATGAATAATACTCAGAATTATAACAAACCATATAGTACATATTCTATTGAGGTTAGTTCATATTAATTTAATCTAACAATATTAGATTCAAATCAATCAATGTTATACTGAATAAAAGAACATAATGGAAAACAACAACAACTACTCTTTTGAATAATCATCATATTGAATTAAATAAACAAGAATCATAATGATCTAAGTAGATTAGAATATTGTGTATTGAATAACTTGAACACTTTTAACATGATTTAACTTTATATTCATAAGAATAATTAGTAGTACTATATGGTTGAGGAGATTGATTGACATCATGAATCGATTGATGTTAGACTACCAATGGAAAACCTGGCAGCACTAGATGGCCATTTCTTTCTATTGTAGGACTCCTGCTCGGTAGTGCGCATTCACAATTCCAACTCACAAGATTCGAAACTAGGGCTTTCGGTCTTACACACGAATACTTAACCTCTAGACAACTGAACTAAGCTCAACATCACATGTACTATGTGGTTTGCTATAATTCTCAGTATTTTTCATTTATTTGATTTCATCCTGTTTATTAATAATCAAAAATGAATGTTCATTCACGATTATCATACCAGTCTTGTAGTTCTTACTTCGTTTCATGGGAATTGCAGTGATTCGTTGTTTTATTTTTTCA